CCAATGGCCGCCGCTGCAGCCGGCGCACCGCGCTGATCCTGGCAGGAGCCAGGAGCCAGGTGCTTTTCCTGGTCTCCCATGGGGTGCAGGGCCCAAGCACCTGGGCCATCCTCCACTGCACTCCCTGGCCATAGCAGAGAGCTGGCCTGGAAGAGGGGCAACCGGGACAGAATCCGGCGCCCCAACCGGGACTAGAACCCGGTTTGCCGGCGCCGCAAGGTGGAGGATTAGCCTATTGAGCCACGGCGCCGGCTCAGTATGATGAATTTTCAAAAGTGTAGGATATGAAAGATAAGAAACAAAGTTGTCATTATTTGCAGGTGATATCATTGTTTACAGAAAATCCAAAAGAATCTGAGTCAAGTTACTAGAATAAACTAGCAACTTAAACAACGTGGATACTGGACTAAAATACTAAACCACCTGCATTTCCAAACACCAGCAAAAAAAACCTGCTAGGAAACACAATTCAAAAGATTCCAACTGCATGACAACTTAGAGCCACAAAACTTATCCTACAGCACGCTTAAAGCCAGGCTGTTTTATCGCAGGTAAAATGCATCTCAAAAAAGCTGCAGGAGAAAAAATACACTATCTATAATAGCAACAACGAATAAAGGATACTCAATCTAATAGATACAAGACCTTTGTGGGGGAAAATTATAAAACTTTACTTAAAAACACAAAATGATATACAAACAAATGGAAAGACAATCAGGGGATGTAAGATTTCCTACTACAAAGGATACTACTTTTGCCCAATTTGATCTTCAGATAGGATGCATTTCCAGTCAGAATCTCAAAGAAATGTTATGAGGAACAACAAACTGACTTTACATCAAAGTGCAAAGGGCAAAGCACAGACAAGACTCCTGGAAAAGGTCGCTACTGCTACACAGTAATTCAGAGAGTGTGACACTGGCACGGGGGCAGACAATTTGACCAGAGGAACAGAAACCAGCTCCTGCGTATCTGGAAACTTCATCTTTGACAATGGCGGCATTGTAGGTCAACGGGAAATGATGCAGTATCCAGTAAGTGGCCTTGAGAGAAGTGATTATTCACATGGAGACAGGGAGAGAGAAAAAGACGGGGTTGGGGGTGGAGAAAGAGAGAGGGAGCCAGGAGGGTATTCCACATCACACCACACATAACAATGTGTTCCAGAGGAATGAGCCACGTTATGTGAATGGGGACACCTTCAAAACCTAAAGGAAAAAGGAGACCACTACAATGTTGGGGCACATAAGCTTTTTTTTAAATGCGGCATAAAAATACCAACCAAAAACAAAACAGACAAAAAAAGAGAACGTAAAGAGGATCACAGAGAAGTAACTGTCCCTTGAAACGTTGTGGGGACGTGAGAAGAAAAGCACTGGGGAAAGCAACAGAAAGCCCGTCCTGTCCTCAGGTCACTGTGGCAACTCTGAGCAGTCCATGGTTCGAAAGCACGAAGAGCCCAGGGCGCTCGGATGAGAAGCAGGCGCCCCAGGAACCCACACTGGGGCCCTGCACACACCTGGCCGGGGCGGCGGTGGAGGCCGTCACTCGGGTTTCCATCTTTATAGTTAACCCCTAATGAAGCTCAGAAGACTTAGCCACGCCCACAGAAGAGAACAGAAATATTGCCAGCCTTGGCACAGACGGCACAAGTTAGAAGGAAACGGAGTAGACAGGAGCTGCTAGTTTTCTCAGTGCACAGTAGAAATGGAAAGAAGTTAACAGAAACAGTTTTTAAAATATTATTTAAAATTACAAAGGTAACAACTTTAAGTGGTGACAGAATCATGAACACTGGGAGGGCTGGTCCATGGAGTTACGAATGGGAGTGAACCCGAGAGCCTGCTCAGTCCAGCGGCCTCAGATGGAGGAGACTCCCAACGAGACTTCCGACGCCCGATGAACACCAAGGACGCAGACCCCCCTCGCAGAGTGAACCTGGGACTGCCAGGTAACTGAGAGCGAGGAATCCCTTCACAGGGGCTGCATCTTCACTTCACTGTTCCTCCTCCTCACCTTCCCTCTTCCGCTGTCTCTCCTTCTGGTCCCCTCTTAGTGTTTGCTGTATTTGGTATGAATACTAAAGTGTATGTACGCGTGCATGTATGTACACAGGGGAGGGAAGCACACATGTGAACAGGCTGATTCTCATCTCCACGTTAGGTAAGGTAATTTAAGTCCCTACGAGCACTATCGCTGGAGCGGAGGAACTACCTCCGCCACTCGTAAGTGAAGAACCCGGGAAGAACAAAGGGCCACCTGCTAAAGCCAGCCCAGGAGCTACTCCCGGCGTCCTCGTGTTCCGGGGCTGCCGTGAGACGTGGGCTGCAGGAGTCAAGCAGCAGGCTTCCGTGCAGAGATTCACAGCAGTCGGGAGAGATGAAAACTGAAGTCCATGTTCCCGCAAGGAACGTAAAGCTCAGGAAGCTCAATGTCCATCTGAGCTCACGTCTAGTTTTGATCACAAGGCCCCTGGTCCAGGATGACCTGACCCACACCCAGACGTGCACTCACACCATGTGTGCAAGGCCAAGTGTTGCCAGGATGGCCCACACCCACACCCAGACGCGCACTCACACCACGTGTGCAAGGCCAAGTGTGGCCGGGATGACCCACACCTGCACCCACACCCAGATGTGCACTCACACCACGTGTGCAAGGCCAAGTGTGGCCGGGATGACCCACACCTGCACCCACACCCAGATGTGCACTCACACCACGTGTGCAAGGCCAAGTGTGGCCGGGATGACCCACACCTGCACCCACACCCAGGTGTGCACTCACACCATGTGTGCTAGGCCAAGTGTTGCCAGGATGGCCCGTACCTGCACCCAGGCCTGTACTCACACCAACTGTGCAAGGCCAAGTGTGGTCCCCACACCCAAACCCACACGTGTACTTACACTATATGTGCAAGATCCAGTGGTTTCTCTGGCTGCTCAGGAAACACAGGATGCGAGGGCTCTCTGGTGGGCACACACCCCAAAGATTTACTAATTGCATGGCTCAGCTTCTTTGCAGGGGATTTCTGTGTCGAGGCAGAAAATAAGGAAATTAGGGATTAACTCCTCATAAATATAATATAATAGAATTTCAAAAGAACTTAGGGACATGAGCTTAGAAAACATTTCGAATACAAATCACATTTCTTTATAGTCAAGATGACTGGGCCTGGAAGACAAGGAGCTGAGTGGCGCCTTGGCCTCTGCAGCCCCTCCCTCCTGTCTCCCACAGCCACAGTATTAGGAACATGAGACTTCCCTCGGGCACTGCAAGCTTGCTGCGCGTGGATTTCCTCTTTCAATGTCTCCGGCTCAGTTTTGTAAGTGCTACAGTTGACCCGCCCGTCAAGAGCCACAACTTCTGGATGGGCCAAAGACTAAGAGGCCAGGGTACTGCTGAGAGTGCACAGTTCGCAGACATTAGCAAGGGAGCTGACTAAGCCACATCTCAAGACATGAGAACATTCCAAAAATAAATGTGAAGCGGAGCACGGGGTGTGCACAGACCAGCAAGGAGGAGCGCGTTCACGTGCCCGGGCAGCCGGCATGAGGCTGGGGATTATACACTGTGCTCTACAAGTGTGCGCACCTTTCTCAGGAAAGTACAGTAACAGGCACCAAATCTAAAGATCACCACACCTGAAGTTTAATAGTAGATACACACACAACACAACACGCCACGTTACACTTTGTACTACATTTACTTCTAAATCCCGTGTTGTCCATCCAGTGCCCTTCAAATAAGCACCATCATCTGAGATTGTCTTGGCAGCCTATTAACTGCAAGAAAAGTTCAAACATTTTATTCTACTGCCTCTGCAGTCTGTTATCAAACAGGCCCCTTGAAAACAGAACTTGTTTGTAGCTCTGGCCTCATCAACAGCATCTCTCTGCTGGACTTGTATACGCTGCTTGCTGTCTTAACAACATAAGGAAAAACTGGTCTGCCTTAAGTACCACGAGGCCAGTTCTTAACACTTCATCATGATATAGACTGAATAACATCGATTTCTTCAGAAACAACAGACGCTGATCACCCAGCACTAGCCTCACAGCACATCAAATGCTGGGAAAGGCCCAGCTGTAACCTAATTTCTTACAGGGCCTACAGAGCCCACAAGGCAGGAAGGCCAGCTTCTCCCCTGCCTGCTCTCCATACCCTGGGCCCAGTGACCAGCTGTAATGAGACCGCGAGTCCTCCCCTCACATCTGTCCTCTCCCCAGGCCGTAGGGAGCTCGCCCCCTTTCTGCTACAGAGCGATTCAAGGCTGCCCACCACTTAAATAAGCTCTAACCGATGCCCTAACATTGGCTCATGGCCCTCACCGGGCACCTGCTACTCACATCACTGACCCACTGCTCAGTTAAGGCAATACAGTGTGCTCCTCTGGGTCTCCCCTCTACGATCTGTCTTTCTGTAGGTTTTCTACCCAGCCCTCAAATGAGATCACTTAAATGCCTGCAAAAGCCAGGGCCTGGCTGGGCCGAAGCCAGGAGCCAGGGCCCCTCTCCAGGTCACACGTGAGTGGCAGGGACTCTAGTACGGGGTCAACACCTGTTGCCCCCAGGATGTGCATCACCTGGAGCTGATCAGACCAGCTGGACTTGAACCAGGCACTCTGACCTGAGTGTCCCAGGCAGGGGCTTAACACACTGTGCCACAACACCCATCCTTCTTTTGTGTTTTCAATAACCTAATTCACTTCACTTAATTTCAAAATATTTCCCAATATTACAGGTTACATTTTCAGAAATATACCAAAGAGGGTATAAAATGTGTATAACAGTGGAAGGTTAAGCTTGCGATTATAAAGTAAACGTAAAGTATGTCTTTGGGGCCAGGCCTGTGGTGTCATGGACTGAGCCACCACCTGTGATGCTGAAATGGGTGCTGATGGGTGCTGGTTCGAGTTCCAGCTGCTCCACTTCCGATCCAGCTCCCAACTTAGGCACTTGGGAACAGCAGCAGCAGATGGTCCAAGTGCCTGGACCCGAAAGAAGCTCCTGGCTCCTGGCTTCAGATCAGCCCTGCTCCAGTCATTGCAGCCATTTGGAGAGTGAATTGGAGGTTGGCAGATGGAAGACCTCTCTCTGTCTCGTTCTCCTGTAACTCTGCCTTTCAAATACAATAAAGGAAGATAAATCTTTTTAAAAAAAAAATAAGTATGTCATTGTAAAAATTAAAAATTAGAAAAGGAGGAGGAAGAGTGGAAGTTAGGGAGAGAATGGTATGGTGGGAAGTAGCATTATGCTCTTAAAACTGTATATATGAAATATGTGAAATTTACTCCCTTTATGTAAGTTTAAAAGCTTTTTTTAAAAAAAAAAAACCTGAGATAATTTTAAAAAGCTATTTTTAAAAAGTACCCATTTACCAGTGTTCTAAGAAGCAGATTACAGTCACTTTGGAGCTTCCTCAGATGTCCCACTCCCACCATGCCCCCTCCTCTCCTGGTAATCACTACCCTAAATTTGGTAGAAATTTCCTTGATTTTATTATTTCAGTGATTACATACAAAATACTGTTCAAACAGGTTTAAAACCTCTCTAGGTGCACAAATGTGATTCTGCAACTTTGCTTCTTTCACTTGAGATGTTACGATTCACGCATGTTGATGTGTGTAACGCAATTCACCTTTTGCACTGCCTGATGGCATCTCATTGCCTCATCACATCACAGTCCATGTATCCATCCCTCCACCGATGCCCATCTGAGTTGTTTCCACTTCTCTTTCCTGCACAATGCTGCTGTGAACTTTCTTGGTCATATCTCTTGGGGGCCGTGTGGAGGAATTTCTGAAGAATGGACTTCCTGGGTAATGAGTTGTGCACATTGCCGACTTGTTCTTACAAACAGCTTACACTCATTAACACGCTAACCAGCTCTTGCAAAGAGTTCCTGAAACTCCGCATTTTGGGCCAATCCTTGTGAATCCACCACATGAGTATTTTTTTTTTTTTTTTTGGACAGGCAGAGTGGACAGTGAGAGAGAGAGACAGAGAGAAAGGTTTGCCGTTGGTTAACCCTCCAATGGCCGCCATGGCCTGCGCGCTGCGGCCGGCGCACTGCGCTGATCCGATGGCAGGAGCCAGGTGCTTTTCCTGGTCTCCCATGGGGTGCAGGGCCCAAGCACCTGGGCCATCCTCCACTGCACTCCCTGGCCACAGCAGAGAGCTGGCCTGGAAGAGGGGCAACCGGGACAGAATCCGGCGCCCCGACCAGGACTAGAACCCGGTGTGCCGGCGCCGCAAGGCGGAGGATTAGCCTAGTGAGCCGCGGCGCCGGCTTGCCAGACATTTTAACACTTGCCGGGCTGCGACATCATAAATGGCATTGTGATTTCAGTTGTAATCCCCCGACTACTACAAAGATGGAGCACCTTGTCCTGTGTTTATGGGTCGCTGGTATTTCTTCTGCAAAATGCTTGTTCCTGACCTGGCTGCAGTGCTGCCCTGAACTGTCCTTCCCTCGCCTTCTAAGAGTTCTTTACATTGTTTGTATTTTAACCCTAGCAAAGTTAGGTCTTAAAATCTCCACTTTGGGGGCCAGCTCTTTGGCGAAGCAAAGATGCCAGCAATGGATGCTGGCATCCCATATTGGCACCACTTTGAGTCTTGGCTGCTCCGCTCCAATCCAGCTCCCAGCTAATGCACCTGGGAAAGCAGTAGAGGATGGCTTAAGTGCTTGGGCCCCTGCACCCATGTGGGAGACCCAAGGAACCTTCCAGCCCTGGCTGTTGCAGCCAACCGGGGAGTGAACCAGTGGACAAAAGCTCGCTCTTTCTCTCTTTCTCTCTCTCTCTCTCTCCTCTCTGTGTAACTCTGACTTTCAAGTAAATAAATCAATTTAAAAACATCTCCGCTTTGAGGGTTCTCACTCTATTCCGCCCTGAGGAACAGTCGTCTAGTTTTGGCATTCCCAAGTCGGTAAGCTTCTCCTTCACGTTTCATGCCGCTGGCATCTTCAGAAACACTTCCCTCTCTGAGGACAAAAGGACGCTGCTGCTCACTGTCTTCGGAAGCCTTATGGCTTGTGCCTCTCACGTTTGTCAGAATACACACAGATCTGATTTTCTTCACGGCTGTGACGTAAGAATCCAACTTTATCAGAGAAGGACGGTTGGTTGTCTCAGGTCATTTGGCAAGCAGCCCATTCTTCCTTCTAGATGGATACTCCACGTCTACCTCCTTCCTTCTAGATAGACACTCCACGTCTACCTCCTTCCTTCTAGATGGTGTGGGGAGCAACTCAGACTAGACTAAGTTACTGGAATTAAGACTTATTCTATGCATCTGCTCTCCCACAATATGGCGCTGGGAGAGGAGGAAACAGCTTCTACACAGCTGCCTCCAGTTCAACCAATAAACAGCAGGACTTGCTCCTGATTGGAGGAGAGCAGCGTACTCGGCGTGTGGGTAGCAGAGTTGGGATTGGTGGAAGAGGACTATAAAGGAGGAGAGAGACAACATGCACCAGGAACATCTAAGGGGAACATCCATCTGAAGGAACACCTGTGCAGCCCCCGAGAGAGCCGGCCGGCGGTGTGCCGCTCCCCCGCGGAAGTGGGGAAAGTGGCAGGGGGAACCGCCCTTCCACGGAGGTGGAAGGGACGGTAGCCAACCCGGGAAGAACCAGCAGCAAACCCAGGGAGGGCCGAGCAGACAAAAGAACAGTGCAGGGTCCTGTGTCGTTCCTCCACGAAGACGGGGAGCGTCATAATGGTGCCGTGACTCGGATATGAAGCCTAGGCAGGGTTTAGTGTCGTTCCTCCACGAAGAGGGGGAGCGACAGATGGATACTCCACGTCTACCTCCTTCCTTCTAGATGGACACTCCGCGTCCACCTCCTTCCTTCTAGATGGACACTCCGCGTCCACCTCCTTCCTTCTAGATGGATACTCCGCGTCCACCTCCTTCCTTCTAGATGGACACTCCGCGTCCACCTCTTTCCTTCTAGATGGATAATCCGCGTCCACCTCCTTCCTTCTAGATGGATACTCTGCGTCCACCTCCCTCCTTCTAGATG